TGTGTTCGGCCACCTTAAATATTGGAAAAGTACCTAAGATTGCTAAAATATAACAGTATTAACTTAAGAAATCAGCAGTGAGGAAAGATTTCCATGTAGTCCCATAATTATGAAATATGCATAAAATTTCCCTCAAAGTAATGTTATCCTCGATACATGAATGGACGAATGGCAATCATGGATCGAAATTGTACGTCCATAGTTATGGGGTTACACAGAAATCTTGTCGACCACATTATAAATCACAGCACATCTAAGACTTCTAGTTCTTTGAAGCCTAATATTCATGAATCCCTTGATGTCTTCTTTGCAATTCTTGCGAAGAATTTAAAACCATTCTTCAGTGTGATATTGGCGGATATCTTCAAAACATTAAGCTTATTCTGGCAAAGGTTTGCGTCCAAAAAGGTTCCTAAGACAGCTGAAACCGCCATTACGGTTACGAAAACCAAGGCAAAAACCCTATATAAACTGCATTTGCACGATTTTAGACGTTTACTTACTGTGTCCTTTTCACTCATGCTCATGTTGTTTATAATAAAAGACTGTCTATACGCCTAAACAAAAGCCGCTGGTTCTTGATCCTCTTCGCTCGAGTGGGCCGCCATCTTTACAAAATAATTTGTCTCGAATTTCGCGGGAACATGGGAATCATCAATATCCCGGATTTCTGAAGTCCCCAGGCTTTTCACAGTGATAGGACTGCAACACGTGCAGAGAGTAGCGAACAACGTATTTTTCACTCGGGACGATGCTTTCTCCTGCGCTTTCCTCGAGTATTAGTATTTTTGTTATTTTTCACTTTTTTATTCAAAATAAATACCATTACAGTTGGTGGGTTACAGCAATCACAGTTTGCACATTAACTAAACACAGTCTACAAGACTGACGTTTAATTGGATAAGACAAATACATGTAGGCCTACAACACTGATGCCATTCACACCTTTACCACTCTTAGATTTCACTATTCCGTGCTCACTCTACTTTAAATATCTTGGGGGAAAATAGGGACTCTTGGAAGATCTTGAAACAACTCCCAAAATCAAAAGTAAAATAACAATGGAATATTTAGTTTCCGTCACATTACAATCAAATATTACAATCAGTAGAATCAAACTCTATGTTTTAAAGGCTGACATCAATTAGCAGTTTATTCCAGTATTAATGTTTCTGTAACCAGACATAACAAGCCTGGTAAGTTTATGGGGGCTCTTTTTTCACACAATATTTCCAACTGAATTTTATTTTACATACTTCAACAAGCTAGACTAAAGCTATGAAACAAGTAAGATAATTTCTTTACTTTCTGCAGGTAACCTAAGTTTACATTTAAAATGTGAAAACTTTCATCATTGCAGTAAATCTTAAGCTTAACATTGCACCTATCGTCTTATCTCTAACTGACTGGATGGTGCACGCTGTCAAATGTGTCAGTTTTATGATCCGATATGTTAGGTTTAGCTTCATATGTACAGATTGTCACACCATGGCGATGAACCTCTTGAAAGTCACCTTTCAATCCAATAAAGTACACCTTGCTCGTTTCAGCGCCAAAGTTACGTGGAAAATAAATGGAAAGGTGCTCCACGTTTGAAAATCGTGCCACCTTGGGCGTGTACTCTAAACTACCATCGTGGTCTTCATTCATTTCGAATATTTGATCAGGCTGTGCATTTGCATCGTCAAAAGTCATAAACGGGCGATTTTTATAGAGCTTCATCTCTGAAGGGTGTTCGCCATTTTCTCCACCTATGACGACAATCCCTTTCAGTTTGACTTGACCAACAAAAGGAATGTTGAACAAAAGTTCCTCGTCCACGTCGCTTTCCACAAATTTAGTGGTATCTAAGCGTTCATCCCACGGTTTGAATACGTTTTTGGCTGAACCTTCCTCGGCTTCATTCAAGCACTGAAGCTTAATGAGGTCTATCTTCTGGAAAAGATGAAACTGGGCGCCCCTCTCTGCTTCAGAATCGTCGTGTTCGTGTTCATGGTGCTCATGGCCACAACCCGCCATGTTGAAAAACGCAGGAGTCTGGAAATAGCTGTTGTTATTGTTTACTTGGTATAAAACACAACGGAGTGTCCAATCTGAGATCGAGAAGGCTTGGAAAATGGCGAACAACGCTGTTATCTTTCTCTCTGTTTTAACAGCTGGTCTTGCCTTCGTTTACTATCGTTTACGCTGCTATTTTGCAGGAGGAGTATGCAATAATACGGTTTCGATGAAAGGGAAAACTGTGCTTATTACCGGAGCCAACACAGGTCTTGGTAAAGAAACTGCCCTTGAGCTTGCCAGACGCCAGGCAAGAGTTATTCTTGCTTGTAGAAGTCTTGAGAAAGGACAGCAGGCTGCTGAAGAAATCCGTTCAAAGGTCAAAGATGCAGAAGTAGTCGTGAAAATCGTTGATCTGTCATCTCTAGAGTCTGTACGTAAATTTGCTTGTGAAATTTTAAAAGAGGAAGTGAGGTTGGACGTCCTTATCAACAATGCAGGGGTGTATATGGACCCCCCTGCACCAAAAACTCAAGATGGCTTTGAGATGCATTTTGGTGTGAATCACCTTGGTCACTTCTTACTGACTAACATGCTACTAAGTCTTCTTCAGAAATCATTGCCAAGTAGGATTGTTGTTGTGGCATCCAGCCTGGCAAAAAGGGCTCGCATTGATTTTGATAACATTCATGGAGAAAAGAGTATTGATAAGGCAACAACTCCAACAAAACAGGATCGTATGAGAGGACCCTATTCTCAGAGTAAACTGGCAAACATATTGTTTGTTCATGAGTTAAACAAAAGGCTTCCAGATGGTAAGGACTTGTCTCAATACTTGTTAGCAAATATGGGTTATTGACCAAGTGTGAGGTCAAGATAGCCCATTGGATATTGGCCAATTTTTGAATGTGTGTTTATGGGCCGAGGTTCATAGATGTGCAAAAACAGAATGAGGCCAATATCCAGCCATTTTGAAGTTACAAGCTCGGTTAATAAGGGATTTATTATATGGCTTTCAGGGAAATTTTTCTTGAGGGACACAGCAGGTAGTCCTGAGCCAGCAAGATAGCACCATCTTGCCTGCTCTGGTAGCCAATCACAGTGTAGGCTTTGGTTCATCTTGCCCAGTCAAGGAGCTAGCCATATGATAAATAGTGTTCTTGTCTCACAGCCAGTCAGTTTCATTGGCTATAGGCTTGGGTATAGAAGTTTCCTGTAATAAGTTGGATCTTCCTGCACTCTTTTATGCCCTTTAGCCTGATTGCAAGTTACAGTATAAGAGACAGGAATCCCACCAGTAAAAAATCAAGTGGCTTTTCAAAATTAATAAGAATATAAGTAAACCTCCTTCATTGAGGACCAGTCATGTCCTTATAAAAAAAATTATAGACCAACTGGTTCAGACCAATAACTGTCATGGCAGTCTGTACAAATTCATGCAGTATCAAACCATTTCAGCTCATTGCACTGATAAGATATCAAAATTATATTCCCCTTGATGATATACAATTTTCAGACAGTATATATGGACTGAAAACTCATTACAGTCTGTCAAACCCCTCCCCCCAGGGGGGTACTTCCATGTGTGGACTATATAGGTATGTGTGGCCCCAAAGGGTATGGTTTTTCAGCTGTTTTGGTCATAAATAGGGTATCAATTTTGGCCATTTTGGACATAATGGGGTATTGTTTTTGCACTCTAGTCTCAAATTGGGTTTGTTTTTTTAGAAGAAGCTACTTTTTCATCATTATCAACAAGGCCATCACTACTGTGTTACACAGGACTTGTAGGTAGCAGTTTTCCCTGTTAGGTTGCGTAAGAAATAACAACAGGCAAAGGTTAACTATTCGTTGTTTTCATTCCTTTATTTACTCTCTTCCTACTCAACAAGATTGTGTGCTCCCAGTGGTGACAGGACAAAACTATGCCTCACTGTGAAGAGTGAGTAAAAACAATTAGATTGTACAACAGGTTGTTGATTTATAGCTGGAAAAACATTAATTTTATAGTCTTGTTTCAATTCCAGGTCTTACTGTCAACTCCCTGTGCCCTGGATTATGCTGGACTGAGCTTCACCGTAATTCATCCCTAAGCTTGATTAAAAAGCTGCTCTTGTACCCGATTGCAACAGTGGTTGCCAAGAGGCCTTGGGAAGGAGCTCAGACTATCATTTATTGTGCAACTGAAGAAAAATTAGACCAAGTTTCTGGAGCAATCTTTGCTGACTGTGATGTGAAGGAATTTCCCCCTCACACTAGAGATGATGGAGTAGCAAGGAAACTCTGGGAACTTAGCGAAACATTGACTCAGTAAAGATACAATTTGGGTGTTTTAAGGAGAAACAAAAGTAGTATTGCTCACAACTTAAGGTTACTGTATGCCTTCAGAGGTGTCTCATGTCCAAGCGATGTAGCCCTATATCATATTAAAGCTTACAGAGGTGGCTATCAAACTATACCAAGAATTTTGAAATAAAATGAATTGTCAAATTTTTATGACCTCTAAATTAGAGCGTCCGAATTGCCTTGTGAAAGCTACAAGTCAAAGCGAATTTTGTTTTTTGCTTGTTTTATTTGTCCCTCAGTTTCCCGACCAGAAGCACTAAAAAATTTCGTCTGCAATTTGCCATATTCAGTTTCAGTGAAAAGTTACAGAATATTTTCGAAACAGGATTAAAAAATATGGAGTGATCATAGGAATATCACTCTTGGGGAAAGAGTATTTGGAAATAAAATTTGCCCAAATTTGAAGGCACAAACAAATTCCCCTTGACTGGTAGCTTTCTAAAGGAAACCAAAAGATGATTCAGACACTCACTTCTAGAGGTCGTGAAAAATTTGACAATTAATTTTATTTACAAATTCTTGGTATAGTGTGATAGCCAGGTCTATATATAGAGGTTTAGGCATCTACAGTTAATACAGGATGCACTACGTCGCTTGGACACAAGAAACCTGTGAAGGTGCCCTAAAGGTATACAGTAACCTTAATTGAGAGTGTCACTGATCATCAAGGCCTTATGTGCTGCATGCTGTGACCATCGGTAATGATGATGGTAATAATAAGGATGATTACCTTGAAATAGTTTCATGATTGTTTTTTATATTACAAAATGACTACATTACACAATAAAATATACTTTAAAATATTTGAATTTGTATGCTGGTCATACAAATTCTGTCATGTTTGTTTATTAACAGATTATTTTCCCATAAAATAATTATAGCCTTGACCTCTTACAATTTTTTCTAACTACCAGTAATAATACTTATATTCTAATAATTTTAAAAACCTAGCTTTGAAGGGCTTTTTTTCCCATGATTCTGACTGTTGCTTAAATAATTCTTTTATAATCACTNAGGATGCACTACGTCGCTTGGACACAAGAAACCTGTGAAGGTGCCCTAAAGGTATACAGTAACCTTAATTGAGAGTGTCACTGATCATCAAGGCCTTATGTGCTGCATGCTGTGACCATCAGTAATGATGATGGTAATAATAAGGATGATTACCTTGAAATAGTTTCATGCCTTCAAGCTACACATAATCAAAAGGCCCTTTAGGCTGCCTCATGTCACTTGTTTTAGAGTGCAGAGAAATCCACTGCCAAATCAAACAAATGTAATGAAAGAGTAATGCTAGATAAAGTAAACAGGAACACATGTTCACTTCTGGTATTTTCGCAAATACAATTCAATTGGTCATTCTCAGAAAGTGTGCATTATGTTAGTTTTTAATTGGCTCATTGTGATCTCTGGATAATTTTTTCTGATGTAGGGATCGCATTTAGTTTTTTTTGGGACTTCAGTATTTACGACCCTTTATCAAAAGAGCAAGTTGAATGAACCATGGGCATCCTTACACAGAATCAGAAATGTGAAGAATCCTTGCACAGGAATCTTATATTAGAAATGCAAAGATTCATTACAAAGGAATGCAGCAAAGTCCCTCCATATCCTCATGTCCATGTGACGCTGTTCACATGGTAACAGGACAAAAATCTACAGGGGAAAACCATTCAAGTTACTATGTAACCATGAGTTTGACTCCTTGAGTGTGGAACTACAATAGAAACAGACTGAAGCAAGGGTAGGGGAAACTGCCTTCTATTAGATTTTCCCAACATAATTTACAATGTAGATGCACTGAAAACCATGGACATGACAACTGTGTTTGGGTAAGTAACTTTTTCATGTCTGTGTAAATAACACTGACAGTGTTCATTCCATACAGTCATGTAATTTACAAATATTCAGTTGATTAATAATCACAGCATACACTTTTAGACACTATCCTCTCAATTCATTAATTTAAAGCTACAATTCCAATGTGATTGTTTTTTATATTACAAAATGACTACATTACACAATAAAATATACTTTAAAATATTTGAATTTGTATGCTGGTCATACAAATTCTGTCATGTTTGTTTATTAACAGATTATTTTCCCATAAAATAATTATAGCCTTGACCTCTTACAATTTTTTCTAACTACCAGTAATAATACTTATATTCTAATAATTTTAAAAACCTAGCTTTGAAGGGCTTTTTTTCCCATGATTCTGACTGTTGCTTAAATAATTCTTTTATAATCACTAAAAACATTTTGATATAATA